ACATTTTGGGGAATACAATAAGAAGATCGATAGCACTTTCTAATCAATCAGCTCAATATGAAGCCTGAGCCAGGAGATGGTTAGCTTAACCTAGCATAAAGACTGATAGCAAGGGGGAAACAACTAGCCTGGTTGTCCACAGGCAACAAAATCTGCCTATCAGCACCTCGAAAGCTCACTAATTAACATATTGATTATTTAATCCATACAAAAAACAAAGTGTAACTAAACTAATTGCAGTTTTACATGGGGTTATGTGCCTCTGCTGGGAGCAGTGACTTCTTAGCAAGCCTTAGACGTGCTGGTAGGCAGATTTTGTTACAATAGGACAGAGCCAGGCTAGCTGCTTCCCCGTTTCCAATCTCTATGCTAATCTAAACTAACCATTTCCTAGTTCCAGGCTTGTATCTAGGGTACAGATTAGAAAGTGCATTTATCTTTTCCTTCTATCATATTACTAATGACTACAGTCCTTAGTGCAGTCACAGTCATACCCAAAGTATCATCACATTATCGACATTGAGGTACAGTCAAATATATTGTGATATCGGATTTTATCCATGTTCCCCAGCTCAGCTGAAGTTTTACCTGTCGTTAGTTGTTTGTTTTAGTGGTCAGGTGGAGTTAGTTAGTTAAATCTGGATAATGTCGAAAGTCGAAGTCACAAGGCTTTAAAGTTCATCCTCTCTCTGAAAGACTTTCTCAGTTTGCTCCTCGGTGCAGGAACAGGACCAGGACCGTGACTTGGTCTGAGGAAGCCATGTTCACCTGTGGCTTCAGTGTTGTGGATGTGGTGGTTCTGGTACTCCAGCTGCTGGAGAGAGGCCTGAGGCTGACTTTGTGGTTGTACATCGAGGACGCCCAGGGGGGCGTTCTTACGGCTGAGGGCTCCGGCTCCTGGAGTGTTGTTTCGCTGGAGCTGCTGGATGATGGCAGAGAATTTGGCATCCAGAGATGGTCTGCCGGTCTTGGACCTTGTGGACGGGCGTGAGGTGCCAGAGTTCTCCTTCTCCTGGTATGGGGGAGGAGGAGGAGGATGAAGAGAAGCAGGAAGGGGAGGTCTGGCCGGACGAGTGGGAGGAGCGTAAGGCTCTCTGTCAGAGGGTGGGGGCGGGGCACGGCGCTTCTTGTTGATGGACGTAGAGCTGGTGTTATGGTTGGGGCTTGGACAAGGGGTAGAGGTTTTGCTCTGGGACAGAATACTCTTCTGCACTACCACTGAATGGGACCCATCAAACAGACTGGACCAGTTAGCCGCTTCCTTTTCCTCTTCATGACCAATAAGAAAGCGGCCATCCGTCTCCTCTATCTTGTTGTGGATGATGTCTGTGATGCTCTCAAACTTGCCAGGTGAATTTATACCTGCGGGTCAAACAAAATAAACAAAGATTGAAATAAAGTGAAATAGATTAGGCCAATGTTTGTGTTTATTGATGATGATGATGATGAATAACATTTAACAATTAACACTTAACTAATATCTTCAAATGTTCTAACTAAACTTAAAACTAACATTGCAATATTGTAATTTGTATGTGGAGGGTTTACCACTGAAATGAAAACTATTATGTGTGGTTAACTGAATATATTTATTTCACTGAGGTGTTACACTCGTTCTGAGCACTCGCACCACATCTTCTATAAATAGATGCATACAAATACAAATCCTGTAAAACATCTGACATCAAACAGTCAGCGCATTATCAGCTCCGTCGAACTCACTTCCGCCACTCGTTCCAATTACTCTACTCACTGAGGTCATTGTAAACAGAGTCAGCCTGCTTGGTGAGGAAGAGTGATGGTTTCCGTGGTGACGCGACCTCGATCTTCATTAGCTGGTTGCAACACTGCAGCCACTGGCCTGGTTGTAAACAAGGAGAGGCATGAGAGACACAGATAAAAGGTTACACTATCTGTTCTTTCCAATAGGAGTTTAACTAAATATATGGTCACTTTTCCCTGCCTAAACTGACTGACTGACTCTTTATGTATTCTTAAACACATAAGAAACCTGTTCAAGAAACATCCACGTTCTTGCGCCGTACACGCATGTGCTGTATGTAACCTATAGTTTTTATATACATACACAACCTTCTGCTGTATATTTCCACAAAAACACACTCACTCTGATCATAGAGGTGCTGGTGGAGGGCGTCTAGCCAGTCCTCCAGCTCATTCCCAGTTTCTGTGGTGAAGACGATGGTCTGAGATCCCTCCGGTGAAGGGTTTATGATAGACAGACTCCTGGATTTTTGGCCGGCTGACTCCTTCTCCATCACACGGATCCGGGTGTCCTGCAGAAAAAATACAAATACCTTATCATAAGCTGAAAATGAGTTCCACAGAATACAAATGTGAGATATTGCACTAAAAAGTACATAGCTGATATTGCAGAAATAAATTAATTCAGCAGCAAAATGCCAAAGATGCAAGCAGGATCTCAGTGAGTAATGTGGCATTTTGTATTTTGGTTATTCTGCAAATGTTAGGAGAAACTATGAACGGAGATCTAGATCAATAATAATGAATGTGATATTTATATTGAGTTCAAAACTCTACTAATCAGACAGCACAATTAAAACAGAGTCGATGATGTAGTGACAGTAATAACAGTGATAAAAGGGTAACAATAGCTATTTCTGGTGTTAACATTTGTACTTTAGATTCATTTATCTAACACATCCATTTTCAGAGAATGTACAGAAACATCAGAGACACTTCTTCCAGTTCTGTTTGTTTTATCACGTTCCACCTATTGGAAGTGCCAAGCGCCAAGCTTGTGAAGGTTTGGATTCTTTCTTACCTTGTTGATGGGAACATTGAGAGTGGGCTGCACTTTAGCATCAATTTCTTCCGGAGTGAAGTAACAGGACAAAAAGCCAGCGCTCAGCACACAGTAAAGACTGCAGCAGCGGTACAGCCCCTCCACACTTTGCTGTATATTACCAAAAACAAAAGGAAAAGTAAGTATTTAACCCGGGAACCGGCTATGATGCTAATGAAAATTAACAGCAGTCAACACACCTTCTGGCTCAGGTAGCCGGTCATCACGCTCTGTGTCATGCACGTAGGCTGGGCCACCAACCGGCAGCAGACGTTGCCGTAGAGGGGAAGCCAAGAGGACCACTCAGCTGTGGGGATGAAGAGCAGCAGTGGCAGAAAAAAAAAGAGAGATTTACATACCATAATCTTCATAAACTACTATATACTTTAAGTAAAGAGGAAGAAGATCATAAAGTGTATTAATCCCCGAGGGTAAATTCTTTTTTTACCCATTTTTTTTTACAGCAGGCCTGAAATACAATCGTGCACAGACAGGGCTTATAGACATGCTAATGTCTAAGGATAAAGGTACTCAGTAAGAAGGAAACTCATACCAAACATTTACCCCTGGAATTACAGCTGGATAACAAAACCCTGCCTGAGCACCCACTTTCTTATCCATTTAATCACTCGCAAAGGAAGAAAAGTAATCCAAGTTGAACTTCAATCACAGGTTGTGTTTAATTTTAGCAAAAATATTTCATCATTACCACAGCACTGAATCAAATGAGGAGCTAAAAAAGCATAATCCCTTTATATCCCCAGATATTACATTTCTGTGCCTTTGTTTCTTACCATCTTGGAGGACAATGAGGGAGTGAGACTGAAAGCTGCCTTCAGCCTCAGGTAGATGCAGTGTAGTGTAGGCCAGCAGGTTGAACTTGGCTCCGCTGGTACAGGTAGCCGCGCACACAAACACACACACGGAGATTAGCATTCTTTAAGTATACCGCATCGATTTCTTTTCATTCCTTGGCTTCCCGGGCTTTAAATAAAAGATTCATCCTCAACTCTAACCCTAAAAATAAATAATACAGAGAAATCAATAGATAAAGACTAACACCAACATGTGTACATACCCCACAGTATTTCACTTTTTGTAAATTATGTCCCTCAAAGGCCGAATGATCCCGATGTTTCTCCTCGCACTGAACAGCTGGGATGTATCACTTACAGATGTTCAGTTGAGTTTCACTAGATGTTCTAAAAGCTGTTAAGTACACTTTTCCTCTCAGAGACAAATAAAATACAGACAGGAACATTAAAAGCATGCACTTTAATTTTTTTTTAAATTGCTCAATCTATTGACAGAAAAAAACAAAAAATCGATGAAAATCCGAAGGCTAAACAGCATTTATAACCCCAAATATTGGTTTAACCCTTATTTCAATTTTCACTGTGTGATTTGTTTATAAACCCGCTGTGTGAGCCTGCAGCTACACCCTTTGTTCCAGTAACAAGCCATAATCGAGTTAGTTCCCATCTGCAGAAACCTTAAATAGAGAGCCAAGAGTCTGTAAAGGGTTTTTACGGGATAACACAATACATACGAGGGTATGGGGTTGTGCTGCAGGAAGGTGTCAGGGTCTGGAGAGTCCAGCAGAGGGCAGAACTTCTTCCCAGCAGTCTTTCCAAAGGAGTTGCGGAGCTTCTTGGCCAGTTTCTTTGGCGTGTTTACCATCGTGAGCTCTTCCTCCAGGGCACAGCTCCACAGCTCCACCTTCAGCTCAAACTGAGGAACTGCTTCTTTACTAAGAGAGAGGACAGAGGGATTAACATTAGAGTTTTAACATTATAAGTATATAAACCGTGTTAGATCAAGACTAAAAAACATCTAAAAACAAAACGCTCAGGGTTCATAATACATGTCATTGCACAGAAATTGTGACCAGTAAGATCCCTTACATAAGATGTTTGTAGAAAAAAAATAAATCAAATACATATATTGCTATACATATTACAAAATAAATAACATGTTTCCAGTGACATACTCTTAATATAACACTTTTTTTCCACCATTGGACAGCAAAACCAAAAAAAAAAAAATACGTACAAGATGGTGACTCCCTCAAAGCAGACGTCAGTGACTGATCTGTCCACCACCACCATCTGTGTGTCAAACACCTCTGAGCCAATCTGCATCACACAGAACACGGCCACTCGGCGAGAGCCTAAAAAACAGACGCAGAGTGCGCGTTAGTACAGCAAGTATCCATAAAATAACATGAGGCAGAGCTAAACAGAAAGCATGAATGTCGGCAAATCGAGCCCAAACTCACTCCCTCTGTTGTTAAAGTGGTCCGAATCCCTCCACATCAAAGGAATGCGCAGCCCTGCATCAGCAGAGAAACGTTAATTAACAAAGTAAACGAACCTGACTTCATTTGGTGCTGTACAGAATTTTTAAAGCGTGTGCGTAAGTCTTAAAGGGGGCCGAATCTTACCAGACATAGCAACTGTACCATTACAGGGCACACGGTCATCTGAAACTGGATCTGAGAGTCTGAAACAGATTTATATTAATGAATCACATTGTGTATCAATACATCAGATCCACAACAATAACACCAATCCCTTACCTCCAGACTCTTCCCATCATGTCCTGCTCCTCCTTCTTCTTCTGCAGCAGTGTGAGATACGCCTTGATCCTGGCGTTGCAGGTCAGCAGGTTCTTGGAGGCGTTGAGAACCTGTTCTCTCTTACTGCAGGCGAGCAGCAGCTTGTAGGCACCGTCCCGCATTCGCAGCTCAAAGTCAAGTTTTTCTTGTATGTTTGTGTTCTTGGGCAGAAGATACACAGGAGAAAGTTATAAATAAACCAGATGAATGCACATCAAAACACAGACCATCAGCAGTGATGTGTTGAATTGTGTTAGTCTGTTAGAGTTAGAGTTAGAGTGGAGTTGCCCTTGAATGTTGTTTTTGGCAAAAACAAGAATCCCTTACAGTTTTAAAAGGTGTTGCAGCGCTTTGGTGACTTCCAGTCAACAAGCAACACATAAATAACGTTAATGTCAAACACAAACAAGGGCACAGTTGACCTGCAACCTCCTCCTCCTCCTCTATAGTGCACTTTACCTCGACTGCTTCTGAATCTGAGTTGTTTTTTGGCAAAGAGGGAAGATTGATTTGTAGCACAAAACAAAAAGGCACCGATGAAAGCTTTCAGAGGTCCTTGCCAATGACAGACAACCGAATATTACAAGGCTATGAGGAAATGTTTCACAACGATACACTGATAATAAAAAATGGCTTGTGGCGGGGAAGCCAACTTCTTTTTTCACTCGAGAGCAACTTGTTGTGGCAGACGGTGAGGTGAAATGGAGCAAAATAATGACAAACTGTATGCTGTAAGGGACGACTATAACAGGGACTACATGACTAGATCACATACAGTTTGATAATGAAGATGCAGTGTGGAAATGTATGGCTGGCATGCACGCAAATAAACAGTGGCAGAAAATGGATCAGGTTAGTTAATACTTAATTTGTGGAAACTAAATGGTACATGGTGGGTTAGAAATGGCCATGTTAAGGTAAGATACATGCACAATTGTTGTATTGTTCTCCATGTGACAAACTCAAATGATGCACCTGTAGCTTCTTAGAAATCTGTCGTATGTACAACAAATTCATATCCTCTACTATCTGCAGAGTGTCATTCAGAAGACTTGGGCATCGTTTCATGCTTTTGGTCTGAAATGACATTAGTTTGAGCGTTGTGTTAGCTTCAGCAAAGAGAAGAGAGCATTATTTCTGCGCATGTGTAGCAACAGTCAACATTCAACAATACAGCGGCTCTGGTTTCAGGGAAGTGAATAACGTGAAAGAGGCGACTCCCGTATTGGATTACTGGCCCAACAACGAGCTTGCTTTGTCCCAGGGAAGTGAAAGCCAGTGTACGTTGGTGTGTGAAAGTCAAGTCACTCGCTGTATTTGAGCAAAACTTATCGATTAAGCTACTTGAAGTGCAGTGTTTGTTACGTTAACGTCAGTACTGTTGCACTTTGGACCCCCTCTAGCGTCAACCGACCTGTCAGTAGGATTCAGGGTTGACGGTCAAATACAGAACACCACCCTCCTTAATGCCCATACCTCTGTTTGCAGGAATAAGGCACTCTGCCGTATTTTCTTCCGTTTAATCTCCATAGCGACCGCGGAACCGGCCGACAATCCCGACCTGCAGCTCCCGTTTCTCTTGGACGTTTGAACATCCCGCGGGTCGTCCATGTTGTTTGTCCATTCGCTGCCAACAGCACCAGCAGCACATTCCCTGCGCCAACGTCCAACGCCCCTCCAACGGACAGGGGCGTTTGATTTGCGTCACGTCTTCTGCCGCAGTTACGATCATGTCGAGTTAATACACAAGTAATTCAATTCAAAAGACCGATACGTCTTTTAAACACGTTATACTCTTTAGGGAGGTTAACGTGCAATACAAAAGACTGGTTGCATGTTACCCATGATGCTTAAAATACTGAATCTCACATTTAACTGATTTTAAATTCCAATAAGTAAAACAGACAAAAGGGTGACTGCTGAATCAAAAGGCAAGGCATGGTGAGGTAACCTACAGTAGTTAAAAGCACAATGTGTTAGAAAACTGCACAGTGTCTGGTGTACAGTTCGAAAATAAATATCAAACAACCGCCCCGCCTTACTAGCCGGTACTTCCAAATATATAAACCGAGTGCTTCACGCCGGCGAGGAGGGAGCGTCATTACGTCATGGTGCCAGACAAATTACGGAATGCACCGTTCTCGATTTGAATTTTTTACACTTTAAAAATAAATATGTTATTTAATAGGTTGCCAAATTACATTTTTTGGAGGGGGAAATATATATTTTAAAGATACAATTTTAAAAAATATTAAAAAACTTAATTAATCGTTGGAAGCAGTTAGACGTTTAACTGTCACTTTTGAAACATGGTACGAATTTCTCAGTAATGTTTGGCCTTTTTGGATGCAACAAAACATTTAATTTACTACGACGGTATATTAAATTTAAGCTATTTCAAATATCTGAAATTGTACATAATTTAAAAAATGATGTTTCCTATCCAAAATGCAGAATAAGCCTACTATTATGTTCTTGTATTACAACAGCCTCGTTTATTTGATTGATTTAGTTGTTTTGTTCCCGGACATCCTCGTCCATTAGAGCTGCGCATCATGCAGCAGCACTGCCTTTATTTCCAGCATGAGACACAGTACATCCAGCTGCGCAGCCCAGCTGATGGTACAGTGATAAAGGACCCTGAAACGTGACCAGGGAGTCCAGGAAACCCGCCCACCCGGTTCTGGGTAACATGGGCTCCCGGTCGAGTTGGAAGCGTCCATAGCTGGAAGTGTAGACGCAGGCGTTGCTATGAACCGTGTCAAGTTAGCCAGAGACAAAACTGAAAGCTCAGGAAATTACGGCTTTCCAAATTAAAAGCTAGATTTTTGAGCATTAAAGTGAGATGAGCTGCATATATGTAATCCTCTGATTCAGACTGTGCACAGTGATGTCAGGTACTTTACCATCTGTAGTGCATTTTGTTTGCATCTCCCCTGCCATAAGCTGTCGGTATATTTCTGTAGGTTGGATCTCATCCTGTATAATTATCATAACATTAGGAAATACCATGGCAGCTGCAACTGATTTATTATTATCCAGTCAACATGGACATGTTATTAAAAACCATATGGTTACGTTTAGCCTCAATTTGTGTGGATTACTTCAGTGGAAATCCACCCTGACCTTCCTATGTTTGCGATTCATAGTATAGATTTTCCTATTAAGAAATCAAACTCAACAAACATGTTTAGAATTAATTGTGACAAAGACATTTTGGATGATATAAATGTACATAAAAGTACATTTATGTATAGTTTTTGTATTTTGTGTTTTATGGCAAACATCATATGTATTGATTTCAAAATATGTCTATTGCAGATTTTAAAAAATATAAATATAAACATATGAAATAAATCTGTTTAAAAGGCTATATTAACACTATTTGTTTATATGACAAGTGGTCATCACATACAACTGTGGTCCACATTACAAACCCTAAAATGTATCTGTTTCACTAAAGGTACAATAATTAAAACATACATCTTCGTTATGATCAAATTTTAAGGTGCTGATTATTTTCATCTTCTGTACAAGCATCAAATCTAATTTTTGAAACAATTTTTAAATAAATTGTTTCATTATTAAAACTGCAGTAGGTAACCTTTATAAAAATAACTTTTTTATCATATTTGCTGAAAC